AGGGCAAAATTTCAAAAATTTCCCTCTCTCCCATCTGTTTTAGAAAATCTACATTTTCAAGAATCAATCTTGAACCAAGAACCGAACCAGATTTTTATCCTCAGTTTGTGGGGCTGGCAATGTTCACTTGACCCCCTTATCTTTATCCTCAGTTTTGTATGTCCCTAAATTTCCGTTTAACCTTATGTTTGTTATTAAGCTGACCAAGTCACTTAATTGCTTTATTACTTTACCCTTCTATGTGTGTTTTTCAAGATCTCAAGACGGGGATGAAGATTGGTGGAGGGCATGAAGCTGGTGGATTGTATTATCTTGACGGTGGAGGAAGAACATCAACAGCTCTCCAATCATCTCTCTCTCCTCTCCAGTGGCACTATCAATTTGGCCATCCTTCGCTGAAAGTTTTGAAACCTTTGGTTCCTTCGTTGAGTCAACTTTSTGTTTTAGATTGTGAGTCGTGTCAGTTGGGGAAACATCATCGTGTTCCCTTTAGCTCTAGGGTTGATAAACGTGTGTCGAGTCTTTTTTCTTTGGTTCACTCAGATGTTTGGGGTCCTTATAAAGTGATGTCATACAATGACTATAGATATTTTGTCATTTTTTTTATGATTTTTCAAGGATGATGTGGCTCTATTTAATGAAAGAAAGAAGTGAATTGCTTACCATCTTCCAAAGATTTTATGCTGAGATTCGCAATCAAATTGGTGTTCACATTAAAATTTTTCGTTCTGATAATGGTCGTGAATATTTATCTTCATCATTTCAAGAATAATTGAACCAACATGGCATTATACAACAGACCTCATGTACCTACACCCTACAACAAAATGGGGTGGTTGAGAGAAAGAATCGTCGTCTTTTGGAAACAGCACGATCCCTCATGCATCACATTAGGGCTGTTCATAAGAATGCCCAACCCGACCAAATCGGACCGACCCAACCCGAGTCGGCCGGGTTTTCATTCGTACTGGTCGATTTCGGGTTGGGCACATACAAAAACCGATATCTCGAGTCGGTTTCGGTTTTCAATGACCCGAACCGAACTAGTCTTTCTTCTACTAGTTTGGTAGTTCCTACTTCCTAGTTTGAGTAGTTTCCTAATTCCTACTAGTCTTCTAATTCCACTTTTGTCTTCTCTTAAAATCTTCTATTCTCTAACTTAACTTGGTTGGTCCGCCCCCCTCAACTCAAGTCCTCAACTAATTCAAAGTTATTCGGCTTTGTACAGGAGCAAAACCAAAACCGACCCAAACCGACCAGGTCGGTTTGCCCTATGGTATTGACTACACAGAGACTTTCTCCCCAGTTGCTAACATAGGTTCGGTTCGTGTTGTGATCTCTCTTGCAGCTATGTATGATTGGCCCCTCTATCAGCTTGATATCAATAATGCTTTTTTGCATGGTGATTTGCTCGAGGAGGTCTACATGGAGCAACCACCAAGGTTTGTTGCTCAGGGGGAGGACGGTAAGGTATGCAGACTAAAGAAGGCTATATATGGGCTTAAACAGTCTCCTCGAGCATGGTTTGGTAGGTTTACTGAGGTGGTAAAGAAGTTTGGTATGAAACAGTGCCAAGTTGATCATTCCATCTTCAGTCATGATTCTCAGGCAGGAAAAATCCTATTGGTGGTGTATGTAGATGATATGTTATTATCGGGAATGATAAAATGGGCATTGACAGATTGAAGACTTTTCTACAGGAACATTTTCAAACAAAGGACCTTGGTAAATTGAAATATTTCTTGGGGATAGAAGTAGCAAGGTCTAAGCACGGTATTAATTTGTGTCAGAGGAAATATGTGCTTGATTTGCTGGAGGAAACGGGTTTGTTAAGTGCTAAACCAGCTGAAACACCTATGGAAACAAATACTAAGTTGAGCAGTGATATGGGTGAAGTGTTTGAAGACCCTGACAGATACCGACGACTTGTAGGTAAACTGAACTACCTAACCATTACTCGACCAGATATTTCATTTGCGGTTAGTGTGGTAAATCAGTTCATGCAGAAACCTCTGGTTCCTCATTGGGATACGGTTCTAAGAATTGTGAGGTATTTAAAAGGGGCTCCTGGTCGTGGTTTGATATACAAAAGTGGTGGAAAACTTGAAACAGAATGATATACTAATGCTGACTGGGCCGGTTCTATGTCTGATAGAAGGTCTACCACAGGCTATTGCACTTTTCTTGGGGGTAATCTGGTGACATGGAAAAGTAAGAAGCAAACAATCGTGGCGAGAAGGCAGAGACAGAATATAGAGCTATGGCACATACTGCTTGTGAATTAGTGTGGCTAAGGAACCTTCAATAGGAGATAGGATACAATATTAACACTCCGATGAAACTCTATTGTGACAATCAGGCTGCAGTTCATATTTCTTCTAATCCGGTGTTTCATGAAGGAACCAAGCACATAGAGGTTGACTGTCACTTTGTGAGAGAGAAGGTGCTGAATGGAGTGATAGACACTACTACATATGTTAACACAGGGAACCAATGGGAAGACTTATTTACAAAAGGGTTGAGTCGGGGAAGAGTAGACTACATATGTAACAAGCTGGGATTATAAGATATATACTCACTAGCTTGAGGGGGAGTGTTAGTGTAGGGGTATTTTTGTCTTTATACTTATGTTGAGGTTGTTGATCTGTAATATTATATTAGAACTAGTGTCCCTCACTTAAATAAGGGCACGTGTGTCTTTTCCATTATATTAGTAATATAAAGCATGTCTAGCCGAATGGGAGATGTAATTTTTCCCTAATTCGAACCAGACTTTTCTTCTCTCCTTCTCCTCCTTTCTCTCTGTCTTTCTTTCTTGTTTCTTCTTCTCTCTTCTTGGCTGTTATCAGACTAACAGAACTCAAAGGCAGGCCAAATTATAATAACCCTAACATGGACTTGTTTGGGCTTGCCTCGAGGGGCGTGGCACAAAGGCGGCTTGTAGAATTAGGAATGTAATAGGTCACATTAACTACTTGAAGTAATGTAATTGAAAAAAAAAAAGAGATTGTGAGTTTTATATGTTTAAAAATGTTTTATTTCATTTTTAAATTCTCATTTGAATATACTTTACATATTATGTTTATGTATTTTTATTTTACATAATAGGTTTTTTAAAACACTTATTTTAAAATTTAAGTTTACATTTATATTAATATTATGTTTTAAATTTTTTTTTTTGAATTTTTTGGCTTTTTTTTAATTTTTTGACATTTTTTGAGTTTTTTTGTATTTTTGCGCTTTGCGCCTCTGGCGCAAATTGACCCCTGCGCCATAGTTTTTAAGGTGCCAAGGCGAGGCTAGGCGATGGGATTTTTTTAAGTGAAAATACATATCCTAAGTAGTTCCCTAGGTTCCATAACCATCTTTCCTTAAAAAAATATCAATAATTTTCATAAAAAAATTATAAACTTCATGTTTATGTCTAGAAAATCAGCATATTTATGAGAAGAAAAAGAAGAAAGAAAAGAAAATTCAAAAAAAATGGGAACTGAACCCCTATTTTTGTTATAGGAAAAGAATAAAAGAAAAGGGGGAAGAAGAAGAACAAGAAGATGTGGAGGAAGAAATGTGTTGATTAGACAAAACTTTATGTTTTTCCCTTGTTGGGTTCAAATTCTGAAGTCTTTGAGGGTTCAATACAGCAGTTAGCAATGTTTGTGTTGATTAAACCCTAACAAATAAGAAAATAATAAAAAGAAATTAGCTTATAAACACAAAAAATGAATATTTTTGTTTAATAATGTCTATTTTATAATTATAATCTCAAAAAAGTAACAATATAAAAGTATTTTATAAGACAGTATACAAAACTGCTAGGCGAATGGGCGAGGCGAGCCTCGAAGGGCGCCTTGTCGCCTAGGCGTCGCCTTGACAACTATGCGATGCGCCTTGCGCTTTTAAAACACAGAGTACATGTCACATTATAATTTCTATTTTATAATACAAAATAACATACATTCTGCACTGAAGTATTGGACCCAGGTCCAAGCCCTGAAATTTCCAGGCTGTGCCCAGCAGGGCTGAAAATGATCACCACTACCAGCAAATAGGACTAAACTGAGCATGGCACTGATGCTACATGGAACATATAACAAGTTATGGGGCTCGCAGACCATGACCATGCAACGTTTCAGAGAGACTCCCAAGACAGACCTCAATATACAAACAAAAATGTGATGGGTAAGGAAATAAAAGTTTTTTTTCTTTTACTTTTTTTATTGCTCAAGGTGTTGCTGAAGCAAGATAAGAAGATGAATAAAAGCCCATCAAATATACAAGCCTGGGATCAGTAGGTCCAACCTGGAAGAGTATCTAACATTAAAAGATTTCAGAAAAAACTAAATATTAAAAAACAAAACAAAAAAAAGAAGATTATACATTATAGTATAGACTTACATAATAACAAATATTAACCACTCAAACAGTGAGATTTAAGGCATGCTGGCCCAGCATGGAATCCTCTAAGAGCTAGGCTGTTGTTATTGACCATACTGGGCAACCTTGGGCCCAATACGCCATTACCCTGTCTTAATTCCAGCCTGAGCGGCTGAACCTAGCCTGATTAACAAGTTGCCATCCCAACAAAAACTGTTACTTGCCTCCATTATTCTTCACACATTTCCTGTAAAAGGTTAAAAATATAAAACAGACAACTTGCTACTTTTAACACTTAAAAAAAGCAAGGCATGCCCTGTAAATAATGTGCAAGTGCACACTACAATATCTGAAACAACATGGGAAGATAAACTGAAACTGCTGCGATGAAGAGTGTCTTTCAGCACGTCATTTCTTAGGGCTCTTTCACACATCTATGAAAAAGAGGGAACTGAAATATACATTATGAAGCAATATGACAGTACAAACAGGTAAATCATCAATATATTCTAGGATCTAGCAGCAATTTAACACAAACCATAAAAGAAAGAAAAAAGTGCAGATTATCTGAATGGGGAAAAGAAAAAAAAATGAATGATATTGTAAGAGAAAGCATGTGATACCTCAGTGGGCTCATGGACAAGACCATTCATCAAGAGGCAGCACTGTAGCTTAGACAATCCCAGCTTATAAACAAAAAGAGAGCTTTCTTCAGCCTGTTCTTTGAAGGTTAACTCCTTTTCAAGCTTGAGTAAAACATCTTGAGGTGGAGACTTTGCCTTTGACCTAACCAAAACAGATATATGTGTATTAATCTAAAAGAATGCAAGGTAATGTCTGCTAAAGGAAGCAAAGTTGACATAACGTCTGATGTGTAAATGATGCAAACAGGGAAGCAAAGAAAGAAAATGAAGAAAACAAATCAGATAGCAAATGTGCAGGATGCACCACCAACCATAATGGAAGTGACTTTTTATCCAGTCAAACCTAGGTCAGTTTGGCTAAAATTTGATGAAAGTAAAGTCACTTCTGGCACCTAATTACTGTAAACTTTTAGCTCAATCAAATATGTAGAAGTGCCTCAAAATGAAGGGTCCAAGCTGACTTACTTTTGGGTTCTGAAGTTATGTTAAAAGACTCAAAGTCAAAGCCAATGGGCTGATCACTGACTGGATTGGCTGTGTTATCCACCGTAGTGAACTTTGTGTCAAGTTTAGTCCACATTGGTTCAGTCATTAGCATGGTATACAATTTCAATATCAATGGACATGTGAACATTTAGAAATGGGAAATTTTCAGGGATAGATTACTAAAAGTTCGGGAAAATTTTTTTGAACATGGAATTAGTTAAAAAAACCGAAGACTCAATACTCAAAAAACTAAAGCAAGCAACTGTACAAATATCCTACTCTTTGTCTCCCTAGTCCCTATTAGTCTTTAAGCCATCTTCTTTGTATTAGACATGTCATGTATTTGCCATTTTTATTAGAGTGAGAATCCCCTTTTGTAGTTGACTGCATTTTTCTTTCCTTTTGAATTATAATGACCTAATAAGTGAATCATATCAAAATAGTATTGATCAAAAAATCATATCAAAATACTAAGCCAAGTATCCATCATCGATTTCTCATTGGTTCTTTTCAAAATAGATTTAAAAATGGCAACTTTAATGATATGGAAACCCCCGGCTTCTAACTTCAATAAAGCTCAGCTTTGATGGAAGCTTCATTTGCAATGTGGGATTGGCTGGAGTAGGGGGGAGTCTTCGGGAATTCAGAAGGAAGAGTGGTGGCCTTGTATTCAGGTCCTTTGCAGAATGGGGATGCACTGACAGCAGAAAGGGGGAGCTTATTGGAGGGATTAAAACTTGCCAAACAACTTGGGTTCCATAACTTAGAAGTGGAAGGGAATTCTCAGGTAGTCATTTCTTGAACAAAATGCAGTACCTAAATCCCTTGGGTTTTCCGATACAAATTCAGCGAGATTGAGATCACAATAAGGGAGTAATTTTTTTTTTGAAGTTAATAAAGGAGTTAATGTTCCTTTCAAATGTATGAGAAGAACAGCAAATGGAATGGCAGACACTATAGCAAAGCAAGGGGCTTTAAGACAACATTTGTTTTGGGCAACTTATAAATTATTGTACTGTTAGAGCGAATTTTACACCCACCCTGTTGTAATCTTCAAGTCTCATTAATAAAACTTCTCGCTACTGATCAAAAAACATGATAATTATAATGAAAAAATCAGAAAGTTTTTAATAATATTGTAAAATTTTAAACCTTAAATATATAATCTACCAATGAAACCCAAAACCAGCATATTAGCAAAATATTGGACATATTAAGAAAAAAAAATGCTTGGAATATTGTGTATTGGAAAATTTCACCAAACCTTGCCAACATTGCAAACCATAGACATAGAGAATTAAGTTTCAATCAGTGATTTAAAAGGTGTGCGTAGAAGTATTTTAGGGTAGGCGCCTCACCCAGGTCCTAGGCGCAGCCCTTTCAAAATCTTTTTAAAAAAGCAATTAAAATTATCAAATCATTATTGTTTGTGTGAGAATTTAGGACCCTAACATGGACTGGTTTGGGTTTGCCTCGAGGGGCATGGCACAAAGGCAGCTCGTAGAATCAGGAATGTAATATGTTTTACATCACATTAGCCACTTTAAGTAACGCAATTGAGAAAAAAAAGAGATTGTGGGTTTTACATGCTTGAAAATGTTTTATATGTTTGATTTTATTTTTAAATTCACATTTGATAAATGCTTTACATGTTATGTTTATGTATTTTAATTTTAGATAAAAGGTTTTTTAAAACATTTATTTTAAAATTTAAAGTTTATATTTTTTATTAATATTATGATTATTTTTTTTGCACTTTTTTGAATTTTTTGGCATTTTTTTATTTTTTATTTTTAGCATTTTTTTATGCACCTTGCTTCAAAGAGGCACGTGCCTCGCCTTGTGCTTTTAAAACACCAGTTTCAATATTCCAAAAGTATTGTATTTAGAGTAAATTCTGACCTTGCTATTTTTAGTAACTCCTGGTTTCTTACAGGCAGGAGTCAGATTACAAGTTAGAAGTTCTTTTCTAGTCTATAAAATAATGTCGACAAACCTTGTAAAGGAGGAATTCTGTTTGTATTGTACTCTATTGTTTTCTTCCAGCTAAGAATTTGATAAAGGATTCCTGTTTCTGTTTTCTACCATAGTTGATATATTAGAGTACTTTTCATATTTCTTCTATTATCTACTCTTTCTTTGCTTGTTAACACTTGTGACTGAAGCATATGCTTCCACTGAGGAGTTTTATGCATATTACTAAATGAGTAACATACAATACCATCCTTCTATTATCTAGTCTTTGATGTAAGATGACATAACAGGCACATCTAATACCATCCTTCAATATAAAATAAGAAAATAGATCAAAGCATTAATCATTCACTTTTAACATACAATATTGCTTCAACAAAAGCTCCCTCTACATGATGTACTTCGAGAGAATCTTCAGAAGAATCATCTGATGTACGGCTTAGCCTGTTTACCTGCCAAAAATATTAGAATTTGATAGATGCTTAGCGAAGGCTTTTAGAATCATGAATAAGATGATGAACAATGAGAAAATATTATCAAATGCATAAGATATTTGACATAGATATGGATATATAGTTAACCGCTGCATTCAAAAGCAGAAAAGTCGCATTATCATTACAATAGCTTAAAGCATGAGGGCAACATATCAAGCTATGAAGTTTAAAACTCACTAGGCTGTTAGTTGTAACATATTGCTGCTTATGATAATGAGTAGAACATATCTCCCTTGTGCTTTAGTACAAGTAAGATTAGTGTGCAACAATTTGCTTATAATAACTGATTTTATGCAATAGTTAATACAGAAACCTATATAAGAGTGGTAAAATTTATTCTCTTTCCTGGAAATTCTATAGCAGAAAAAGAAATGCCAGAGGCCATTAAAAATACCACAAGAGACGACCAGGAAAACATGGCACTTCATTATCACTCCTGTCTCTCTGTCAACACAGAGACTTAGGTTCAAGCTTTGAAATAATGGAGAAGGGAGGAAGGTGGCAGTACAACACTAGAGAAGGCAAAAGAAAATGGACCCAAGATGAAAATTTTGCAGAGGAAGGTAGTGGAAGGTGAAGGGAAAATTCTCTGTCTTCATGGCACTTCATCATGACTCCTGTTTCTCTGTCAACACCAGAGACTTGGGTTCAAGATTTAGAATAATGGAGAAAGGTGGAATGTGGCAGTACAACTCATAAGAAGGCAGACCCAAGATGAAAACTTTGCAGAGGAATGTAGTGGATGGTGAAAGGCAAATTCCAAGTCTTCGCAGCACACATGCAACAGTTCTGCAGCACAGACGGTTCAAGTAGTGAGAAATGATTTGAGGGCAGGGACAAAGGTTTAGAAGATTATGATGGTTTATTTGTTTGTTCATTAATATATCTAAGTATGCTTTTTGATAGGATATCAAATAGCAACTCAATTTCTTCCCTTCACCAGAACTCATTTTTTTCTGGTATATATCTCATCGTAACTCATTTAGGGCATGAATACTTAAAAAGAAAAATCTACAGGTGCAACTTGGGTAGGCTTGGGTTGGATTTTTGTCAAATTTTGAATGGGCCCAGCCCAGATGCCCAAACCTTAAGCTGTATAAAATGCTAACTCGGGCCAACCCAAGTTGCACTCCTACTAAAATCCTAATCCCATGATTAAATCTTTTTCCAGGGAAAAAAGAAAGAATGTTTCCAGGCGAGAGATATCAGAAAAGGAGAAGAGGAGAGGAGAAAGAGAGAAGAGGAAGAGAGAACAGAGAACAGAGAAGAGAGACAAAGAAAATGTATTCAAACTTGTAGCTGGCGGCTCCAGCTATTAGCTTTTATATTAGGGTGACCCAACTCACAATAAAAAGAAAACGAAATTACAAGAATGCCCCTACGGCACTAAAGAACAGAAAAACATAAATAAAACGCTTCAGAGAAGTGGCTAACTGATTCCAACACTCCCCCTCAAGTTGGGACATAGATATCAATCATGCCCAACCTGTCACATAAATCATTGTGCCACAGATGATATAATCCCTTGGTAAAAATGTCTGCAAGTTGATCTGTGTAACTGTCATATGGAGTGCACACTTACCCATTTATAATTTTCTCCCTAATAAAGTGATTGTCAACCTCAATATGTTTAGTTCTATCATGGAGCATTGGGTTGGCAGCAATGTTGATAGCAGCTTTCTTACCACAATACAAGGATATGGGGCCATCAACAAGAAACCCCAACTCATTCAACAAGTTCTTTATCCACATAACTTCAGCCACTCCATGGGACATTGCTCTATATTCAACTTCAACAGTAGACCTTGCCACAACATTTTGTTTCTTGCTTCTCCACGTGACTATGTTTCCTCCCACAAAAATGCAATACCCACTAGTAGACTTTCTATCATCAACTGATCCGGCCCAGTCAACATCTGTATACACCTCAACCTTCAAGTGACCATTCTTTTCGAAAAGTAAACCAGCCTCTGGGAACTTCTTCAGGTACCTGAGAATTCTACCGGTTGCCTCTAAGTGAGTAGTCTTAGGAGCATGCATGAATTGGCTAAGAACACCCACAGCATAAGAAATGTTGGTCATTTCATCGACAAATATAATAGTCTACCCACAAGTCTCTGGAATTGTTTCACATCTATGATAGTCTCACATTGACAATCACCTAATCTATGGTTTGGATCAATGGGGGAGTCAGCAGGCTTGACTCTAAGCTTTCCTGTATCCTGTAATAAATCTAGGGTGTATTTTCTTTGAGAAATGAAGATCCCCTTTCTCGAACGGGCCACTTCAATTCCAAGAAAATACTTCAAGGGACCTAAATCCTTACTCAAATTGAATGGCTAGGAACTCCTTTAGTCTCGAATTTCCACCTTCCAATAGCCTATGATCACTATGTCATCAACACACACTATCAAGGCTTTCCGTTCTCCCTTTTTCACTAAGTGTATGATCAATTTGGCATTGTTTGTAACGAATCTGCTGTATAGCTAGGTGAAACTTGCTGAACCAGGCTCTCTTGATAATTGTTCTAGTCCGTACAAGGACTTCTTTAACCTGCACACCTTTTCTTTTTGATCTTGGGCATAGAAGCTAGGACGTTGCACCATGTACACTTCTTCTTCAAGATCACCATTCAAAAAGGCATTTTTAATATCTAACTGGTGGAGATCCCAATCAAGGTTAGCAGCAAGAGAAAAGAGAACTCTGATAGAATTCTTCTTAGCAACCAGAACAAATGTCTCTGCATAGTCCACTCCATACACCTGAGTAAACCCTTTCGCCACCAACCGAGCTTTGTAACTTTCTATTGTACCATCAAGCCTGTGCTTTACTGTAAAAAACCACTTGCACCCTATCGGTTCCTTTCCCACAAGGAGATCCACTAATTCCCATGCACCATTTTTATGTAAGGCATCCATCTCTTCTTTCATTGCATCTGTCCACTCAGGTACTGAAAGAGCTTCATCCACATTTTTGGGGATAGGAATACTGTCAATGGAGGAGAGAAAAGAAAGGAGGATGAGATGTTCTTATATGAGATAAAATGAGAGATAGGATGTCTGGTGGTATAGGACCTAACTCCCTTCCTTTGTGCAATAGGGATGTCAAGGTCATTGAAAAAGGAAGAACCAATAGCAATAAGATCAAGAATGTCAACGGGAATAATAGTACCTGGTGGAATGTTGGTGGTATAGTTTCAAGTTGCTCCACAGCTTTTGAACCCAGCTGATCCTTGCGGCGACGGAGAAAGACATGGAATGGAGGAGGGTCAAGTAGGGAAGGTAGTACTTGAAATTGTTTCTCCTCCACCCTATTCTCCCCCCAAGGAGAAACCAGGAAGAAGGGATCACCCTCAAAGAAAGACAAATCCATAGAAACATAGTATTTTCGAGAGACGGGATCGAAACAACAGTAACCCTTTTGAGAAGAAGGATAGCCCAAGAAAACACAAGGGTCAAGTTTACCACGAGTAGGAAACGAGTTTTAAACAAAACAACGACAATCAAATACACGAATGGGAATAGAAAATAAGGGAGCTTTGGGGAATAGAAGCTGATGAGGGGCCTTGTACCCTAACACCCGAGATGGCATACGGTTGATGAGATAGGTAGCACATGACACAACATCCAACCAAAAACGTTTTGGAATAATCATATGGATGAATAACCCACGAGCCACTTCAAGTAGATGGCGGTTTCTTCTTTCTGCAACACCATTTTGTTGAGGAGTTTTGGCACAAGAGCTACGATGGATAGACCCACACAAAGCAAAGAACTACATGAGATCATTGTGCAAGTATTCTTTGGCATTGTCAAACTGGAAAATTTGGATCTCTATCTGAAATTGGGTGAATATCATGTGTTGAAAATCTTTTACAATCTTTGGTACTTCATCTTTAGACCGCATGGGGAACACCCATGTATATCTGGAATAGTCATCAATAAAAGTAATGAAATATTTATAACCAAGCTCAGATGGTAAAGTAATAGGGCCCCAAACATCAGAATAAACAATATGGAAAGGAAAACCGAATTTATTATTTCTTGAAGAAAAATGATTTCTACAATGTTTGCTCAACTGACAAGTTTGACATTTGAACTCAGACACTGACACTGATTTAAATAAATCTGAAAGTAAGACCTTTAACGACTCAAACGATAAATGACTCAAACGACTATGCCATAAGTAAACTTGACTCATACTAGACTGACTCGTAAACTCAATGACCGCAAGACTAGCTTTGTTCTCCAGCATGTAGAGACCATCCACCATACGAACTCTACCAATCATCTTCCCCGAGTCCAAATCCTGTAGAACACAAGAATAAGGGAAAAAGGTCATTGAACAGTTTAAAGAGTTTGTAATGCTACTCACAAAAAACAAATTTATAGGTAATTTCGAAACATGTAATACATTAGAAAGGTTAAGCCCAAAAGGAAAGGTTATGGTTCCTTGACCAGCTATGGTGGAAAAAGAACCATCATCTAATCTCACTTTGTCCCTACCAGATAAAAGTTGATAGGATTGGAAACAATTTGACTTACCCGTCATATGGTTTGAGGCTCCAGAGTCAATTATCCAAGGGGAATCAAATGAATGGGAAGACACATGGAAGGTTGTGGTAGGATTTTTACCAGAAGTAGATGCAAAAGAAGTTGAAGAAGCGGAATCCATCTGGCGGATTGCTCTCCCATGCAGATCCAAGTGGTCACGGAAGGAATTAATGATATCTTCCCGAGAATCGGCAATGGATGGGCGGTCCTGGTGAATAGCAGTAGATGATTGAGACTCTGAGAGGCCAAGTTTGTTGTATTAAACTTTTTTTGACTTTGTTGTCCCAACTTCTTATTCTGATTTGGTTTCTTATTCAACTCCTGAGCCCACTTTGGCTTTCCATGGAGGTCCCAACAAGTATCTCAAGTATGCCTGGCCTTCTGCCAGTGAGTACACCATAACTTATCTTTATCACACTCCGCCTGCTCTCTTCGGATTGAATTAAAACATACACTTCTTGTATTGAAGGAAAATCTTTACTTCCTAATATCTAAACTCTGAGAGACTCATATACAGGGTTCAGCCCCAAGAGGAAGGCAAAGACCCGTTGTTGGGAAACCAGAGACTTGTAGGCCTTAGCATCAGCATCACACTTCCAATCAATGTTCTGATAGTGATCTAGTTCTTTCCAAATTGAGGTCAAATTTGAATAATAGGCTGAGAGGGTCCTCTCCCCCTACTTACAAGTAGAGGAGGCAGCTTGCAACTAGTATATTTTGGCATAATGACATTGCTCTGAATAGGTAGATTTTTCCTGCTCCCAAATCTCAACAGTTGTTTCAGCCCACATGAAAGTCTTCCTAACTGGAGGCAACATAGAAAGTAACAGCCATGACATCACCATGTTGTTTTCCTAATCCCACCTATAATGCTCCACTCCCTAGGACTTTGGTTCTTTTGTTTTACCATTAATATAGCCTACCTTCCCCCTGGCTGTTATGTATAATTTGATTCCCCTTGACCATTCTAGGTAGCTAAGACCATCAAAAGGTATCACGGCCATGGGAAAACTCATGTCAAAACTCCCACTCATTCCACTTTGATTGGAGGATCCACTAGACAGGAATGAATCCTCAGATGACATGTTAAAGGATAGTTCTGTTTAAAAAAAAAAAACAGTTCAGCCACAATTTATTAACACTTCAGTTCAGCCACAATCACAGTTCAGCCACTGTTCAATTCCAGTTCATCCAATTCAGACCCMAGACCAAGTTCAGCCACTTTTCAGTCACTGTTCATCCTGTTCAGGCCACAGTTCAGTCACAGTTTAGTCCCCAGTTCAGTCACAGTTCAATCCCCACTTCAGTTCAGACACAGTTCAGTCCCCAGTTCAGCTCAGTTAAGCCTTAGGTATAATTTTTTTGGTTCAGCCACAGTCCCCAGTTCAGTCATGTTTTTGTTTTTTTGGATCCACACATCTACTGGAAAAGTTCCCAAGACTTGTAATCAACCACTGTTTTATAGTTACAGGTCATTTTGACCTATATCGCCCAGCTATTTGGGCACAGAAATGGATCACACGATCCACAAGACTGAGAACAAAAACTCACAGCACTTACAGGTCATTCAGACCTCCATAACTCCCTTACCCGGGTACAGAAATGGACCACACAATCCACAGAAAACAGGTGGAAGAACCTTCACAGCATCAAACTTCCCTCTCTTTAATTTGTTTCTTGGCACACAACCAAGAGAGAAGGGAAGAAAGGGCGTAGAAAACTTCAGACCAGTCCAATAAACTCCCATGACAAGTTCGATCCACAGCAAGAAGAAACTGAGAGAAGAAAGAGATCTTGCAGCTTCTAATCTCAGAAGACCCACTCTGATACCATGTTTCCAGGCGAGATATCAGAGAAGGAGAAGAGAAGAGGAGAGGAGAAAGAGAGAAGAGAGACAAAGAAAATGGATTCAAACTTGTAGCTGGCTGCTCCAGCTATTAGCTTCTATTATAGGGCGGCCCAACTCACAATAAAAAGAAAAGAAAATTACAAGAATGCCCCTGTGGCACTAAAGAACAGAAAAACATAAATAAAATGCCTCAGAGAAGTGGCTACCTGATTCCAACAGAAAGAAAGAAAGAAAGAGGGAGTGCTGTTGGTTAAGTACTTAAGTTAGATACCCAATCTATGAATCTAATCATCCCAGTCAACTAATTACGTAGCCAATCCAATGAGCTATTTGACCAGGTCATAATCCATATAAGGCAATCCACAATCTGGATCTCCAAGCTTTTAAAGACTATGTTCATGCTTTTGCAGATTTACTAGCAATGTCATTAATGGTTCCAGGGTTCCATGGATACTTGCTTTAATGCCAAGTAGCCAAGGTATATTCCTGACTTGGCTTCATTATTCACATGAACTCCTCCTAGAACACCAAAACATGCTACAGCTGGTTCCCACACATGTAAGACAATTTGCAATATAAGAAAGGTGATTGATTCAAGGACCTCCATACATGGAACACATGTACCAATTTCCAGAATCATCCCTCCCCTAGTTATTAGGTTTATCGTTAACAGTATTGATATTCCTGGTATGCAAAATTTGCGTATTGATAGTTTCAGTCCAACAGAACTCTTACTTTTATTTACTTTTTTGGTATGATTATTTGTCAGTAAATATGTCAAATCATATAATAACATTTATTATAAACAAATCATATAAAAACACTTAAAAAACGAAAACCAAACAACTCTTATTACTTAGCAATTCAATGGGTTCAGGTGTTTTTCCTAATGCCACTGTCAATCCTAAGAATGCCACTCTTGATGGGGCTGAACTTGGGCAGTGTTTTAAAAACAAGATTAGGGCTGCAACGTGGGCACGCCTGGATTGAATATTTGAAAATTTTCGAATGCACCACCTATGCTGTGTAAATCTTCAAGTTGGGTACCCAAATCACACCCTTAAGTAGGGGTGAGCATTATTCGGTTAAACCGAAAACCCGAAACAAAAATTTTTGGTTCAGTTTTTTCGGGTTTTTGGTTAATTTGATTTTTGAATATTTCAGTTTCAGTTTTTAGAATTAAAAATTCAGTTAACCAAATTAACCTGAACTTTGTTAAATAATATGTAATATATAAATTATAATATTATAATACATAACTTATAATATATTATTGATAATTTATAATATATAACATATAATATATTTATAATATATAATATATTTAGAATATATATAATATATTTAGAATATATATAATATATTTATAATATATAATATTTTTAATTATTTATATATATGTTATATAATATATTAATATATCATATAATGAAATTTGATTTCATAATATATATATATATTATATGTTATAAATTACAATGCACATAATATATATAATATAGTATACATATTATTAAAATTCGGTTTTAACCGAAGATTTTGGATTGAGTTTAGTTCGGTTTTGGTTCGGTTTTCATTTTTTCAAGTTTGGTTTTTAAAATTTCGGTTTATTATTAAAATTCAGTTTTAACCGAAGATTTTAGATTAAGTTATTTCGGTTTTGGTTCGGTTTTCATTTTTTTACGTTTGGTTTTTAAAATTTCGGTTTATTCATTTCAGTTTTAACCGAATAAACCGAATGCTCACCCCTACCCCTAAGTAATAGGCACAAGGAAATCCAAAGGCCTCCTACCACTCAAGGAACAAAGTGCATCTGCACAAGGCGAGGCACACACCCCAGACAAAGCAAGTTGCAATCTTTTAAAGAAACTAAAATAAACAAACAAAAGAATAATAAAACAAAAAAAAATAGAAAGTGAAAGCAAACAAAGGTAAATCATACCAAAGTGCTTCAATTATTTAACAATGCAAGCAAGTGAAACACAAAACATATTACACATCTTACATTCTTAACCCTGGAGGTTGTGACAGTTATACGTGTATTTCTTCATGGCCCCTCGAGGCAAATCCAAACAAAGCCATGTGGAGGTGGGGGTCCAGAGGCAATGCTACCAACCTGAGTTTTTGCCCATATATATAAGGGGATTGTTTTATGAGTTTAGCTGCAGTTTGTTCTATGTTGGGGATCAAAATTTAACAACAGGAATGACATTATACAGAAGGGAATGACAACACAAGATTCATTACTCGAACCCATAATAGTCAGGACAAGGATAAGATGAACATGATGATGAACAGCTAGGTCTTTAATTATTCAAATTTCAAAAGGTCCTAATTTTTTATTTCTTTCAAAATGTAATAAGACTATTACTTCATAAGCAAGAACGAAAGATAATTTAGAAGTTATTAGACCATAGCAAAAGTGTAAAATACATTCAAATCCAAAAAGAAATAAACCAAAAAAAAAAAAGAAAACTTATAAAAGGCCTGCCTAGGCTAAAATGCAATGTGCACAAAGCATGTGCCTATTGAAAAAGGTTGTATTTGGGTTATAGAGAGAGGCACATTCCTTAAAATGCACCTTGCTTAAGCACCTAGTTACCCTTTCTAAAACAATAGTCACTATTGGATGGATGAGAAGAGGTGATAGAGGGCCACTGATGTACAAAATCATTCCAGAGATAACAGATCATTCACGTCTAAATGAAATGCCTCATTTCAGGTAGGCAGGAGTGATTTGGGATGGAGTATGAACCTACCTTTGTAGTTTATTTAGATTTATTCAACGTCTGGTTTGCTCAACTAGGATTAATGCTACTTTCCTGTTCTCTTTTCTTGTAATATACTTCATCAAATCTTTTTTTCTAATTCTTGCAAATTTTCATGGTTTGTTACTGATCAAGAAATTCAAGAAAGAATGGCAAAGTGATAAAACCACACAATAGCTTCATGGCTACCAATCAATATTACGAAATTACTGCATTTCTAGCAACCAACCTCTCTTGCTCCACTATTCAAGAATCAGTACACATAATTGAAAACTCAACCATAAATTTACATACATTGCTCAAAAATTGGAATGCAGTTTGTGCCCCATAGGTATCTTTGACATGAACGAAAAGACGTATAATCTGCAAAACAAAGTTAAGCCAACAATTGGTACACGACAGCTGACTCTAAAGGGACAGAAAAAAATAGAACATTTATAAGATTTCTCACAAGAGAAAGAACATATGTAAAAAAGTTTGATATCATGAACTAGAAGTTGTCATTCAGCAATCTGCACAAGAATGGTCATAACCTAGGTAACAAAAGTTTAGAATGCCAAGCAGAATGAAAACTGCTGCAGAACTGTGGGAAAGTAAGAAGCTCCTAGTGTGTATGTGAAGGAAGAAAGTGTAATAATGGCATGTGATATATCATGTAAGTGTTTCTTTTTTTCTTATGGAGAGATAGAGAGACCTATTGTCAACCTAGACATATGGTAAAAAACATGGAAGCACGGAATGTGTACTATAAAGTATTTAGAGACTTGTACTGCTTTTTCATTTCTCTAATAAAATTCTCAAACCATTGATCAAAAAAAAAAGTATTTAGAGCATTACAGGCATAAGTCTTTTTTCACTTCAGAAGTAGAAAACAGTGGGAATTCACAAGGTCTCATATCAACAGGAAAGTGCGGTCTAATCCATCACCATCCCTATTTAGGTCAATACAAAGACTATCCCATCATAAAACATTCAGTTCATGCAACTCTTTGTTACTATGCCCTTCAGAAAAGGTGGGCTCTGTGTCTACTTTTGTCTAGTGGTGTGAGGCATCAAGAGTTGCCTAAACTAATAATTCACTAGCATTCTGTTGAGTAATATTAGGCCATAAGAGTATTTTTGATTATTGGACTTTAATTTTATTTTATTAGTTTGTGGGCTGAACGCGTAATGAGCCTACTTGGCCTATTCATTGTCTTCTTTACTTTGCTGCTGCCTACTAGTGGCAACTTGCAATTGTACTATCTATTCTATATCTATATCTATACTACTATTGAAAGTACAAATGAGAGTGTGAAACTTTTGTATGATTAAAACACCCCTATTTTTTATTTTGGTCCTTCTCTAATTGTGAGGGCAAAAATGAAATTTGAACTACTACTTTTCACCTCATTCAATTGCCTCTCATTTAATATATATATATATATAGATATAAAGATGTATTAAAGGAAGGTCATCAGGCTACAGTCCCCCACCATTCAAACACGTGGCATTCTCATTTTTCTGGAAATCTAGACATGTGGCATTTTTTGAGAAGTTGTTGTTAAACCCCACAACCCACTACCACCATTCAGACAAGTGGCCTTCTCATTTTCTGGAAAGCTAGACACGTGGCAATTTCTGAGAAATTCCTGCTAAAGCCCACTACCCACTACCAGGCTACAACCCCCCACCATTTAGACATGTGGCATTCTCATTTTTCTGAAAAGCTAGACACATGGCATTTTCTGAGAAGTTGCTGCTAAAGCCCACAACCCACTACTACCACCATTCAGACACATGGCATCCTACTAATTTAAGAAATAGGATTCAAAAAGTGGGTAGTTTCACTCCTAAACATTCTCCATAAACGGTTATTTATTAGCTTAACACATGTTTATCCATAGACTATTAAATACAAATGGTGGGACCCATTAAAAGATTACCATAAACAATGTTTTGTTTTTAAATGATTTTTTTTCAAAAAGAAAACACTTTATTAATTACAAACTTGATTTAACTTTTAGGAAGCAACTTAATTTAACTTTCAAAAATAAATAGCTCAAAATAGATTTATTAGATAAATAGTAAATATCAAATAAAGTGGGTTATTGGTTACGAATAAAATCTCATTTAATATCTTAACTCAAATTAAAAAGCATAAATTAATAATGGTTTTCAAATAAAATAGGTCAGAATAGATTGTCAATTACAAAGATGCAAGACCCATATTAGTTATTTTTTTTATTTAATTTTTGATAACTAAATTATACATACATTTAGTTACCCCGTACTTAGTAGTACAGGGTCATTCTCTAGTTAAGCCTTATATTTAAGGTATTAACTGTCATTATATTTCAGTATTCTTGTCTAAAATACCTCTATGTTTGAATTTGGTCCCTCTCTGATTGTATAAGGGAAGAAAACGTAATTTGAACACCTTTTCACCTCGCTCAATTCCTCTCTCATTAAGTATTATATTCAAGGTACTAACTCCCAATTATTCATCAAAAAAAAAAGGTACTGACTCCCAATTCTCTTTCATTGAATCCTATGTTTAAGCCATTTTTCTCAACAGAAAATTCTAGATCTATATTCAATGTTTTTAGCAATATAAAGCCCATGTTTATTAAAACTGACCTAAAAATGAAGTTGTTTCTGTCTCGGTGGTGACAGGTAAGCAATTCAATTGGCCAGGTCAAATGGGTCAACCCATGATGTCATAGTTAAATAATATGCCTTTTAAAATAGAAATAAATACAAAAATTACAAAAAAAAAATAATGTATCAAAAACTAGGCACATCTCTAATATTTTAAATTAATCAAATCTTGGTAGGAAATTTTGGAGACTTTTGATTGCTGTTTTGGGGCCCAGAGGTTGTTCCAGGAGATTGTGCTCAAAATCTGAACCAGCCAAAAGAAATTGGACTTGCATCAAATCAAACATCAGAATGATTGCTAGGGGCTGGTCCTCATGGCTTCCTTGGTGGAAGAATGTAAGAGTGGCTGCAACTTTTATGGATAAAGGAAAAAGTGTAAAAGAAACCATGCCAGCATGGGTATCAATTAAACTTAAATCTGTATAAAAATTTCTGACAAAAAATTAAATTATAAAGCTAGCGGCAAAAAGCATGCTCCAAGAAGAGAAGTCATTGCTTGGTTCAGTAATAAAATCATGAGTTACAAGCATTAAAACATGCATTTGAGCCTTGAGAGCAGTCATATTGTGCTACAGTGCCAACAAAAGTTAGGTGGCAGGAGTAAAATTTCTAGCTGGCGGGCAAATTTCTGGGCTTGGGCCTCAGTTTGGTGTACAGAGCTTATATATCAGGCCCAGGCCTGAATCATGATACCCTTATTAGTTCATAACCAGAACCCCTCCCAAGATCCTAGATAATAGCCTTTTAGAATGCTTGGAAGATCACTGAACCAATATTTCAACCCAAACTGACCACATCTAGATGGTAACAAATTGAAACCATTATCCAGTTACCTTTCAATTCTACAACCAACATGTGAAACAGAATTAAAGTATAATTAAAGCAATGATAGTTTTCAAAGTGGGATACTTTGTTTTGAACACTTCAGTTCTAGTATCAATATTTGCCGGCATATGTCTCTTAAATGTGCTTGCCATGTATGTAATGTGTCTGGATCTGCTGGTTACCAATCAATTGGATCCAATGCCGCATTCCCAATGAGACAGCAACATCTGTTTTTGTCCCGTGTAAGACTGTCCAAGCACATGGGGCAAATGTCACACGAACAGGTCAAGGCCTTGCTATTAATTCCTACTCCCACTCTGCCTCATCCTTATATTTCTCTCGCCTTGCCGTCACTCCCTACCTTTCTCTGCTGCATCAGCCTCATGGTTCTCTGCTGTAGCTGTTTTAGGTCAAGGATAGTGGTTCTTCTGCTATCAAATTCAATGAGTTTCATCACAGTAAGAAAACCAACACTTTTGTCCAATGTTCCGTGATTGATATGTTAGACAAATGTGGGAGCTTAAATGAAGCATGAAGCATATTTGATGAAACTTTGCAGTGCAGTACAGAATGGGGAGTAGTTTGAAACTTTGTGCTTATTTAAGAACATGACATCAGAAGGATTGAGAACTGATTCAGTGATCATAGCAACTATCCTCCCAGCCCACGGTAGATTGGGATAAAAGATTATTCTCAAAGAGTTGCAAGGACATGAGCTGTGACAAGGACCTGAGTTCCGAGAAATATCCTTGGAGATTTTTAACAGAGTGGTGAACTTTCCAAAGCCTACAGGAAATATCTAGTCAATCCATTCGATAGGTAACAATCAGACCCCGACTCGTATGTAACATGTCTTAAAACTCATCTTGTCAACATTCTAAAAATGAAATCTAGCATACATACATATTAACTACATCCCTCCAATGACAGCAAGAAAAACATTTAAGGCTGCAATGTTCTCACAATGTTTAAATAAGTCAACTAAGAGCTAAAACAGTAAAAAGCTAAATACACAAAATTAACATTACACTCTAGCCAGACATACTGAAGAATGCTAACTAATAACAAAATGAATACTAGGAACATAAAATAAATTCACTTCCAAAACAAAGGAAGAAAATAAAGTAAGCAATGAAATGAGAAGAAAATTTTACCAAACTCGAAATATCATCTGGTGAATGGCTGTCAATCACTCCATCAGAAAACAAGGGGATCTCACCATTGTGATCTTCAATCTTCTTGATGAACTTTGATGAATAAAATATTATCCCAAATCTTATAGGATAATTATTTTCATACAAAGATAAAATCATGTCAATAGACTGCAAGATAGCAAAAAAACGACAAGTCAGGAGCTTCGGCAACAACGACACAAAGTACACAAACAATTCAAGTAGTAGCCCGATAGAGTATAACTTGCCTCAAGTCCACACACTGAAGCAGGATCCAGCACATAAACTGCATGGAACAAATTTTTCCGGATATAGCGGAGCTGTCCAGGGAAGACTGGCATTAAAAGCTGCAAGGAAGATAATGGACATTAGATAAAAGACAAAAGACAGTAGCTTCCATTCATTTTAAAAATATATAAACCTACAAAAGAAAATCAACATATAAAAGTTACAATATTTTATGAAGTAGCTTACATCATTTAAATTGCTCCGCCATCGCTTGTACATTGCATCAACCTCCAAGTTATTAAGGTAATGAACATGGACAGACCGGAAATCAACACGAACTGCATTGGACTCTGAAGGTGGTAGAGTAGACAGAAGTTTCCTAATTGTGCTTTGAGGAATCTGGAAACATTACTAAGGTTAATTCAATGCACACATTCATAATCCAAAGTAGATATATGTCGAACCTAAAATAGTAAATGGAGCGTAGGAATGGTAAGAATCAGAAAGTAATAAAAAACAAATAAACAACCACAAAAGCCCAATGTAACATCTCAGTGGAAGTGGCATTTCACCCTTCAAACGTTACCTCTATTGCTAGAAATCAAGGGTCCTATGCTAAATTCAAGTCCAGATTTCAATTCACAAGGTCTTTCCAGGTCATATATGCTTAGAAAATGTGTAAAACAGTGAGCAATTTCTAGAGAGAGATAAACAACAGCAGCAAACATTATATATGCATATGTCTGCTTTCATGAACATAGGCATACAGAGAGTGTTTACACAGAAGAGTGAAAACAGAAGGCCATTGACAAAATTTCAGTAAGATTCAAACTAAAACCAACAATAAGAAAAATATTTAATGATAAATCTGGATAATGAGTGAGCATACAGTGGAACATGGTTAATAATGTGTCAAGGCAAGGGAAGGATACAGAGTAGTAGCATGTTGCCTAGGTGATGAAATTGCCAAAAACAAGTAACTTCCAACCTTTTTTTCTTTATGGTAAGGGAAACTTTGATTAAACAAAAAAAACGAGGGATGTACAGGAGATGATGTGCAAAAGGACACAGCAACAAAAAGAGAAAACCCAATCAATCAAAAGGTAATTTGTTAGCACTGTACAGAAATTCCTTCCCAACCTTGATCTTGCTAAAGAAACTGCCATTGATTCAGTTCCCTTGGAATCCCTCTAAACCAGCAGTTTATGGTGGCTGAAATATCTGCTACTTTTTCTGCTGAATGCAAGTCAGAGACAGGGAGGGAGAAACATTAATTCATGTCTTCATCAACATAAACAGAGAGATACTTCAACTTGAAGCCATGAAACAGGGAAATTTCATCAAGAAAGAAATCGATTTTCTCCACAATCCTCTTCGAATGAAAATTTCATAAATACTTGTGATCTCTTACACAAAAAGTATTTGGGAAGATTGTCCATCTCTCCTCGTGTTTGTATTTTATGCTTCAGTGAAGGTGAATCAGCAGATCACATGTTTCTTCACTGCAAGTTCACCCAAAAGATTTGGTCCCATCTCTTGAAAATGGCAGGTTACAGCCGGGTTATATCAGAAAACGTTATGGACTTTCTGCAACAATGGCAGGGAACAGGTTTAAGTAAAAGGGGTAAAGTTTATTGGCAATCAGTGCTACATGCAGTCTTGTGGGGAGTTTGGGATGAAAGAAACAAACGTCTCTTTGACAACAAATTCAGGCCCCTGGAGGAGTTAAATTTCAAACATTACTTACCTTTGCAACCTCTGGACAATTAATTCAGATCTGTTCAAAGGACTCTCAGTCAATGATCTCAAATTCTCAGTAGAGATGCTTACTCCTTTCTGTTTCTCCCTCTCCTCCATCAAACAACCTTGAGACATCCCAACCCCATCAGTGAAGGAGTGATGACCCTACTATAAAAGCATTTTATAGTAGGAAGTAGAAAACTGCTTGGCGATTAGGCGAGGCAAGTCTCAAAGGGCGCCTTGTCACCTAGGCGTTGCCTTGACCAAGGTTTAAAATTTCGATACGATACGCCCCGTATAGGGCATATCGTATCTAATCTTTTAAAAACAGATACGGGATACGCATGGAAATCGTGTATCATCTTTTTTCATGCGTATTGGGCCCGTATCGAGGGCGTATCAAAGGTGTATCGAAGGTGTATCAGGGTGAATCGATAGCGTATCGACGAAAAAGATACGCAAAAACCGAAAAAAAAAATAAAGGGAAAAAGTAAGATTCTTTCACCCCCCAAATGACTCTAAAACTCCAAACCTTATTCCTAGAGTGCTAGATTTGCAAAATTTTTGCAAGAAACAAGTGTAAATCGTTTTTTTTTTGAAGAATTTTCAAATTTTGAAAAAATATGGTAAAAAATAGGTAATTTTTTTCAATTTTTTATAATATCTTATGATTTCTTTTTTCTTGAATGTATAAATCTATGTTAATCTACATTTCTTACATTCAAAATCACATTTTTTGTGTTATTTGAAGATTTATGGAAATTTCAAGAGATATTTGGGGAAAATATAAATTAACAAAAAATTTGAAAATATAATTTTTTCTCTGCGTATAAAGACTAAATATGTTTTAGATCTATAGATTTATYTATCATATCCATAGAGCAATTGAAATTTCTTCTTTAATATTTTTTTGATTTTTTATATATTTAGAATAAAAATAAATAATA